AAATCACAAAACTTCAAATATCTTGGATGTTTCCTGTCTGCTGACCTCAAGTGGTCCTATCACGTAGAAGAAACATTTCTTAAAGTCAGAAAGTTGATCTTTCATATTTTACGCCTTTGGCATGTGAGGGTGCTATTATACATCATCTCTAAATTTATTTTCTCATGCGTTTTATGCCAATAGACCTACTGCTCTCTCGTTATCTTTCCCGGTCTCCTGTCTAAGGATTTCATATTAATTAGACGCTCTCTGAAAGCATCTCTAGATATATAACTGTATCTTATGATGAGCTGATTGATTCAATTGTCAACCAACACCTGAACGCGTGTGCCCGTCTGTGTGACTCCATCTTGTCCGATTCATCACATCCTTTGCACTCAACCCTATCTTGCTCCATTTCAACTTCTGTCACCCGCAATAAATTTAAACCTTTTTACACTGATAGCACTGCTTTTCACAACTCCGTTGTACCCTACGTTTCACGTTTGTTGGTTTCCAGTGGACAATAATCAAATGAACTTATACACAGTCTAATGTAAATTTTCACTTTAAAATTTTCTTCATTTTTTATGCGTTCTCAGTCTCCTGTTCATCATCTAAGTGACTATTTGTCATATCTTTTAACTCATTCTAAATAGCGTGTATGCCAAAGCAAAAGTGACATTCTTTTCACTGAAAATTCTGTTCACATAGCACGAATAAAGTGCACTCTTGAGTTGATTTGACTCTTGCTCCAGCGCTTACGGGAATACGATTTCACATTACATGTTGAGACGTGGCAGCTGTTTTCGACCACTTTGAAATACCTGGGCATTGTTGTCGACAGTCAAGGACGGCGACCGGACACAGAAAAACTACAAGCGATCGCCAGCATACCCGTCGCACTTGATGTCACTACCTTGCAGATATTCCTGGGAATGATTAATTATTACAGTTCCATCATCCCACACATACACCAACATCGAGTTTCTGAAGGGAAGTCACCTGTGGTCGTGACCCCTGCAGTGTGATAAAGTACACAACCGCATCAAGCAAATCCTTGTATGAGATTTGATGCTGGCACACCATGATTCGAAGCTGGACATTTTCGTAGCGACAGAGGCGTAAAAGTATCCGAATTTTCGCTCATAAATCTCTAGGGTTTGGCCTCTGGCATCACTGGTGTTACCGCGTCCTTGATTGAGAGAGCACGACCGCGCTTCGATATTGTATCGCCGGAGACATTCGGTTATGTTTGTTGTAAATTGAGGATTCGGTGCCCTGATGAACGTTTTTTGTTTATTGTCCCTGTTTATGTACCCACAGATGTATTCAAAGGTGTCTTTTACCACGCATTTTTGCCGCAATCCATCCTGGCTGATTTCTCGATTTTAGTAGAATATATTAATGCTAGATTAGATCGTCTGTGTTCCATTGATACGCCTTTTTTTGCCCGATTCTGTTTGTTAATAAAATGATGAATGGCTTTTGGTTTGGTGCTCTTATTCTCTGGTATTTCCAATCAGTACGAGCTTTTGTTGCTCTAATTTGCGGCACACTACTAGGCCTCCACCCTTCTGGAGTCAGCGATGGACTCGAATCGACCACATCAGAGCTAGTTACAGACGGTTGATTTGCGTACAGGTTTGCGGATCAAACTTTAGCACTATCTTTTACTCCGGTTATATCTTAGTTGTGGCCTAACACGTCGTTTCGTGACAACGTAAATTTTCGCTGAGTCTCTACGACTTATTGGCGCAAGCTGGTCAATCTGCTCTGGCAGCCTACACAACAAAACTCCACAGCACAAGACTATGCACTGACTGCGAAATCTCGTAGTTCTGCTGTGCATCAGAGATGGGACGTTCTCCCATCAAATGAAAACTCCCTAAGCTGTTTCACCTCATCCGGATCACTTGTAGCAAACCTCTGGGTGTGAGTTAAGCAATTTATGACGCAATATGGCTCACCTGTTCACAGTGAAAAACTTTGTCTTGCAGGCTGTTTGGTGCGTTTGAAGGCACGGTTTAACTGACGCCTAGAGTCATGCCTCACAGCTGTCCAGGCACACTTCGCTTGATCGGTCTCAACAAACGCAGTTTCTGAGACGAAGATTTATAGTGAAATAAAATAACTGAAACATCACAATGCGCCGGGCTGCAGTAGTCGTCTCGCTGCTCTATGGTCGAATGGCCGAATGTAGCATTTAATGGAAATGAAATTTATTTACTCTAAAGTTTGCCATCCTGAACAGTTACCCTCTTGGTGGGGGCAATCGGCCGTTCTCTCTGTCTTCAAATAGAGTCCGCTGAATAACTGTGCGGATCACAATGCTATAAGCCTAATCCCAGTAGCACAAAGCTGATGGTGTTCGTCCCTCCGCCTCGCCCACAGGTTTTTCAATATCTGTGAATAACAGACTGGTGTCTGTTTTGGATGCATCGATCGAATATTCACCCTCCAGTATTTGCCAGAGGATTTTTACGCTTTCCATAGATAAGTGAGCCTTGTATACTTAGACATCCGTACCGCCTTAAATTTCACTGATAGGACCGCACTATGGAGTTGGCAAATGGAGTGTCTAAGAAGTGGATATATCCTCAAAGAGTTGTACCTCATTGGAGTTCAGGGCTCATAGCCAGCTTCGATCAGTCCTTGCCGTCTTTAAAATAGTGTGACAAAGCTGCTCCATATCGGCATTCCTTTTTTTAACTTCGCCATAGGACATGCTCTACAAAAGGCTTTGTCCGATCTAGCAAGTGGTGAAGAAGAACGGCGCCCATGGAACAAAGATATTGATTTAAAATATGCCGATGACATCACTTTCTCTAGATCACAATTCACAGTCAATCCACGCTTTGAACCACTTCACAAGCACTGATGATTTCACCTCGGTTGGTGATGAAACAAACAAACAAATTGCCAAGCTCGGCGAACAGGCGAAATAGAACACTTTGAACCGCTTTGCGATCTAAGTATCCATTCGTATTTCAAAATTGTCAGATGAATGTATTCCCTTCCTCTGGACTATTGTGGTGGTCAGCTAAAGATATCCAAAAGCTCTAGGTCCCTGGGCAGCTTTTGCACAGCTAAAGATGGTACTAGAAAGGAGATCACATTGTGAGTAATGAAGGTTTGAATGTCTTTCACCATCCTGAAACGCCTGTGGATCCCCCCATAACATCCCACGCAGCGGTTCGCCATTCGTTGTTTCATTGTAATGAACCGGTGAATTCGAAATCATCGCCTCATATACCTTACTGGAGGCTGATAATATTTTAACAGGCCAGTTTAAGAATCGTATACCAGTTCATGCATGTGCTTTACATGGTCGAGCAGACGCACATTACACATCCAAACAGTCTGCGTTAAGATAAAGAGAGGGCCGTAACTAGGTCTGTTATTACAGAAATCAGGGCTTCTCTCATTCCTTCCCTATTTGATAAAGGTCTACTGTGTATTAATTCGATTTCTTTTCCCTTTTGATTACGAGATTTTTCCGTTTTCTTTCATATAGACTAGTTAATTTTGTGCAACCATTTCTAACTGTGCTAAAATGGCATGACTCACCATCAAATGAATCAGGTGGCAACTTACTTTGCTATCTTCTCAAAGCGTTCTCGTAGTTGCGTACCACAAAACCGTTTTAATTGTCTCATTGTTGATATTTCTTTAGAATATTCATCTACTGAATTTCGCGATAGATAAATACTGATAAACCCATGTACTACTTTTTGAATTGCTCTTCATCACTCTTAGTCTGTTGGCTGCCAGATTTATTTTCGGGGTGTATATATATATATATATATATAACATCGGCTTGTAGACAAGTATGGTGCCAACGCCACAACAATAATAACGATAACAAGGGGCAGGTGGTGGTGGTAGAGGGTACCTATACTAAAATTACACCGCGAACAATGTTTATTATTTGCAGCGATCAAAAGGCACCGGCACCACCGTTGTTACATTGAATAAATAGCAAATATCTTTTTACTTCCTTTTTTATCCATTGAATATTTTTTTCAATTTTTGCTTTTATTGAATGCACAATGACAATTTTCAGTAAGGGGGAAGCGGCCAATCAAAGGGCTGCCATACAACACACAAATTCGGACAGTCAGGCGGTGGTGGTGGGATTCGAACACTCGTCCTCCGGGGTAATAATTTGGTGACGTTACCACCGGGCCACCATCGCCAAATGTACAGTCAACATTCAAGAAGTAGGATCACGGCCATTCAAAGGCGGGCGCCGGTGGAGCGGTTCGAACTCGGGACACGAGTTGGTGACCTAATCACTTGGTCACTAACCTCATGGTCGTGTAACATTAAAGTTGTTGTCGCTCTCGTATATGTGACTTAAAGGTCTATTTGTGGGTCAGTAATAACGGTACGAGTGATGCATCGATGGATCACCCTAATCATCGATAATTATGGGATTCTTGAGTTCGGTTCATCGAAAAATATGCTGTATTGATTTTTCACTACAGATTACGCTGTTAAACGTTTTCGTTTCGTCGGTATCAGTCTCCAAGACGTATCCTACCTGTGCAGATTTTGCCGAACCCTACAAATCCTAACATTCGGCTATGTAACATTCCGCTCGCCTTGAATGTGTGCCACATAGACCCAAACACTGAAAGTCACGTTGTGAAAAATAATCATGATGATGATGTTCTAGGTGGTGAACATGTTTTGCCTCCTTTCTCCCTGCCCCCACCCCGCAGTAGATGCTGCGTTCATCCAAGGATTTGGACCGTTCAAAGTCAATCTGACCGACTACAATGGAGATGCCTTGCGACTGACCACGATCCAGAAAGGCATGCTTCATTTTACCATTATTATTTTTCTCTTGAGTTGGGGAATGGTTTAGTTTGGATAAATACACATTCAATTGCGACCGGTGATGTTTCTGGTCTTGGTGTTATTACGTTCCAACAAACCTTTTCGATATGATTCCCTTTAGGCAATCTTGTGAATCCGTTTATTTCGGTATTCCCTCCCTCCCCTCCATTATTTAGGCCAATCCACCATCTTTTGATCGTGTTGAAGACGTGGCCGATTTACGATTCCCGAACGAGTTAAGCGTCACTCACACATTAATTCAACGCTTCGGATCCGGACAAGTGTGTACCAACGCGTCCGGGTCGTGCCTGCTCAGTATCAATCCAATGACTCCGCTGAACATCTACTCGGAAGCGGTAAGCTGTTCCATATGCATCGTAGAGTTTGAGTTGTCCAAACTTGTTCCTGACCGTATTCTGCTCACTAGCAAATCGTGGACTAATTTCCTCATCCAGATTCTTATACCGTCCCTTTTTTGGCTCACTGTCCGGACTGAGACGCGTATCAAGTCCGATGCTAAAATCATACCCCATTAGAGAAAGTGATATTTACCTTTCTGGTTACCGTTGGTTCACTCACATGTATTTCTGTCTTCCTCTGTGCCCTGCCAGTTGCTTTTTTCATTTGAGTAAAGACGTACAAGGCTCTTCTTTCACCTGACCTGCACTACTGGTCATTCAATGGGCGTCAGTTTAGTAGACACAGGCTTGTGCACACAATGCCTCCGTTTTAACCTTTAATCCTTTAGCTGTTCTCTAATGACTAAGAAGAAAGGTATTCTGAGCAGGATAAGGATTAATGCGTTGTACTAATTGATGTAATTCTATGTGCAGGCATGCGTAGTTTGTGTGCCCGAGTTATTCAAAGCGTGGTATGGCAATTATTTTGGTTAGTATAGATTTATGTGCATGTTCTCTGACCTCATCATTGGTCACAATATGTTGAGATCACACACACACGCACCTATCCATAACCAACTTGACCACACGCATTATCCCAATCCAACAACGATCCAAATGAAAAAATGGAAGGAGTATAGGGTGTAAATGGGAAAAAATAGAGGAAAAACTCACGCGCAACACGAACAGATGTATTCGCATCATTTTTGGTGCTTTTTATGGCTGTTTTGTTTTTTATCCTTCGAAAACAGGGATTTCACCAAC